CAGAAATTTATATCAACCTTCTTTTGAACCACAATATTTTTCTATCCTTACAAGATAGCAGGAAAATGCCTGTCTGGACTCAGCTCAGTTCATAGGTTTAATCAGATTAGTGTTTATTTGAAGACACATTATTTTAGAATCAAACTACAAACTTGCATACAATAGTTACTAAACTGCACAATATTTTAAGAGTTCCTCTTCAGTTGGTGGCTTAAACATCAAAACACGTGTTTTTCATTTCAAAATCAAAATATTTTAGAAGGAAAAGTAATAGTGGACAGTGCTGCATATTTACTATATGAACTATATCAAAACTACATAACTGGAGTATACTTTGCTTTACAGTACATCAACTGGCATTTTAAATTTTATTTGTTCATAAACAAGAGAGAAGTATAAAGTTATGCATACCTTAAAAAGAAATCATGCAGCTTTTCCCATGAAGTAGAGAAACTTGCGATGTTTTACATACACTGGCTGTTTATCCACTGCTCAGTTCTTTAAATGGTTGAGCACACAAAGTCAGGTGTCTGAGTCACGTTTCTACAGTTTTAGATTATAATGCTGCCTAATCAGTTAGCCTGCATCACCATATCCTCTGACACAATAAGGAGCCTAACCACTTATGCTGAACATCCTCTGGTCACTTGTTAAGTTTTATAAATTGAGGGCACTGCTGCCACTGTTTTTAATAGAACTGAAGTTTTGTTTTAAAGCAGAGGTTCTCCAAGTGTGGTCTGCGGACCACCAGTGGTCCGCGAACACCATTCAAGTGGTCCACGGATAGTTCCCTCTAAGGTATGAGCCTGGGCGGCCGTACACAAGAGAATGAAGGGCCACCCACCTAATTAGTGGGGCCGTGCAGGCGTGGCTCCACTAATTAGGCGCATGGACTCCGGAGAAGACGCACATGTAAGGTGAGGTGGTGGCCTTGGGGGGAACAGGGGGTAGGTAGGAGGGGACAGTGGGGTGAGAAGAGGGGGTAGGGGAGAATTTGGGATGTGCAGGGCTGCAGCCGTCAGAGAAAGAGGCGACTTTCCCCAGCTCGAGCTGCAGCCGCTGGGGATGGCCCTTCTTCCCAGCCTCAGCTCTGTGGTGGGAGAGAGACCCCCCCCTCCTTCCCAGCCCCAGCTCAGGGGCTGCTGCGATGGAGGAGAGGGGGCACATCATTCGCACTAGAAAGGTAAGACTACGGATATTAAAATACAAGTTGTGTGCTTTTATTTGTAGAACAAAAAAACATTAATTTTTTTTATGTAGTGCTTTTATCCAAAGCACTTTACAATAGTTAGCTAATGGTACAAACAACATTTGGAAAGATCATTAAAGTGGTCTGCCGAGACCCTCAGCAATTTTCAAGTGGTCCATGAAAAAAAAGCAAATAAAATTCTAGAGTAAAGATTTCCTGTATAACGCAAAGCTAAAAAGAACAGATTTTTTTTTCCTTTTGTAAACCAGAAACCCTGGCATTCCCTTTAATTACTTTATGATGACCTATATCATATGGTGTTTACAGGTAATACACATGGAAGCAACAATTGCTGCATTTTCTCTGGCAAAAAGAATGTCATGCTCATTTTAACCCTTTCAAGTAAGAAATTCTCAGTGTGCCCATACTGACAGACCTCAACTCTGGGCACAAGTTTCAGCTGAAAATTATGAACATTTACATTTACTTTTAAAGCCACAACATAAATGGTGTTGAATATGCCACTATATTTCAGTCAAGCATATGCTGATTTCCTGATGCAGTTTTAGGGTGAAATGAATTTCATTACATGGAGTCGGAGAAGATGTGTGAGTGAGTTGGAAAGATTAAATCCACTCCCTTGTGTTGGAGCCAAGATGCTATTCCAGCCCATAGGCTGCAATTCTGCAACTCCAACTCCAAATCACTTGCATAGATCTGCTCGGTAGAACTAGAACCAGCATAAACACGGATCCCATTGCATGCCCCCATCGCCGTCCTATATATTGGCCTGTACACAAAACAGCTGCAGAATCTTCTGTAGTGCTTAGGGAAAGAGAGCTGTGGAGGTTTCCCTGTATGGCTACTTTGCCAGCAGCCCTCCTCATACTATGGAGATTAAGCGATGCAAAGGCTTGTGCTGGTCCTCTGGACCATGGAAAATTTAGCCCTCCGAGAACACACATTATTGACAGTTTCCATTATTTTTATTTTTTTTTAAGTATAAAATGCACTTACAAAATGAGAGTTGTATTTTTGATCAAATTATATTTTACAAATGGTATCTACTTACAAAGAAAGCAAGTAGCTAGCAAGAACAATTACAATAAATTAGACTTCAGCTTGTATTACATTATTTTTTTCTAGTAGGCTTATTTATCAAGCTATATAGTCACATGGCTAGTCTACCTTTTTGAGCATAACAATTTGGGAGATATTATTCCAATTTTAGCACTCTTTAGATCAAAATGCCAAAAACTGCTACTTCCATCAAGCATTTAAATAATCTAAACCCCAGTTTGCATTTAAGGGTTTAGCTCAACTTGTAACTGTTAATTTCTACTAACAAAGTATGGAAAGAGACAGGTAGTTATGCTTGATATATTACTAAATATGAGAAAAAAGGTCTCGCTTACTAGTGATTTAATTTTTTATTTTTATTTTTTAGTTTTGATGTCTTCATATCCTTGATTCCTGTTCATAAAATTAAAACAAAAACATTTTAATATGGAAAACAGCAGAAACATCAAACTGAGAAAATTAGATTTACACTTTTAGTCCTTTTACATTCAAGACTGAGTCAATATTTCAATACTGTAATTAAAAGATAGTTACAGAAACATTAGTATAAATATACCAAAGAATTAATGTAAAGTGTCACAAACCCATAAAAGCAAGGATATTCAGAATAAATACTGATGGCCACTCTTAGCTCACTCCTCCGTGCCTAGATATTGCCAATTCCTCCAACCATTAACAGTTTTCCGTACAATGGAGGAAATTCTCCACTCACTTTAGATTTAAGGGGAGTTGTGAATGCATTTAGATGAAAATATAATCCTCAATGTGTTACAACACCTAGGAATTACACAATGATTTAAAGATGGTGTGGCATAATTTATGAATTCTCTTTATGGTGTTTATTAATAAGAACTTCAGTAGTGTTTGTGGTTCATTTTCTTAAATTAAATTCCCACTGACTCCACTGTATGTAGTCTTGACCAGATAGTTGAATTTATGTAATATCTTTATTACTTTTACTGTATTTTACAAAAAAAACCCACACGCATTGCTGATGGTACAATTATGGATTGCCAAGATACTTCTATTAGCACCACACCCAAATACAATGTAAACGGAACAGGTATTACATGAATATTAGGCTCTAATGTCTAGTCTATAGGAGATTTAGCACATACAAAATTTCAAGTTTTATAAGCGAAGTGTCTCTTGGACACAGTGCAATACATGACTATCCCGAGGGGAAAAACCTTTTCATTCTTATAACAAAACTGAAAACAAGCCTTTAAGCCCTTCACTAAGGAAAAATAACTGATTTTGAACAGGAGACAATCAAAGAGCTAGATTTTTAAAGCTGCATGGATTATTACTGCATGTATAATGCCCCAAAAGCTGGCTCCTAATCTGCCTGAAAGCAAGAGAGGCCATCTGTGGAGCTTGCTATTTAGAAAAAGAATCTTAGATTTGTGAGCTATGTTTGATGCATAATGGCTAAGCAGCATATCAATATAAGTAATATTTAGCATTTTAAACTCACTATACAACATTAACCCTTGTGAGGTAGGAAATTATTCTTATTTTGCAGTTTGCTTAAACAGACAAAAAGAGTTTATTGACTGCCAAAGGCCACAAAACAAGCCAATGGTCAAGATTAGAACTCAGGTTGACCACAGTGACTCTTAGAAATGTCTATACTTATATAATTATGTGGTGTGGGCTGTTGTTTTGTTTGTTTGTTTTTTGTTTTAAAAAGAGATCTTGAACTTCAGGGTCAAATGTTAGATCGAGATTCACTGACTTTGATACTGCTTTTGGAATAGGAATTTGTTTCAACACTAGTTTTCTATGGAAATTCACCTCTTTCGGCGATAGTCATTCAGTATCTCTACAATCAGAAGAGTTAAGAGGGAAGAAAGATGACTGCTGAACTGAAAGCTTACATGCTAGGGAAACAGCTGAATCTGATGTCCATTTTGTGAGCATTTTGATTGCACACACATGCTCTGCAAAGATATCAGCCCACTTACAATGCTCTCAAATTGTAAACAAATTTCCTCAAATCCAAAGACTTGTTAAATAAAGGCCCCTAACAGAACTGTAACTCTACAGCACCACAACATTAGTAACACACATGGCTTACACCATCTTTTACAATTGGATATTTATCTGTTGATCCTGGAGGTTTAAAACATTTTTCCCTTATCGCTTTTCTACAGGAAATTCCAACTCCAGTATCTTGCCACATGCTTTACAATTAAAAAATGAAATGGTGGTGTAAATTTCAAGAAAAAAAATATATATACACACACGCACATATTTACGGTATATTTCTTTTTTTCCCTTGGGACCTACCACTTCAGACTGACTTATTAAATTATCTAACAGCAGTGGCCCAGGTGTCACTGGTAGGGAGAGTTGGAAGGACCCATCCTGGAGGGATGCAGCTTCCTTCAGGATGATCAGCTGGTACCAGGTACTGATCCCATTCATGCCTTTAATAGAAAAAAGATTTAGATAGGCGTTTGTTCTGTTCCAACTTCAGTGATAAGCTGTCTCACACACCTTAATAAAATACATTCACATACATATTATAATGAGATTTTATATTGTTTAATATAAAAAAAGTACTACTGAATTACATTCTTCAAAGCAAAAACTTGAAGATACATTTTTAAACCATGAAATGAGCATGAGTGAGCATGCAAGTTTCTAGCAATTATATATGGAGATTCACTACACTTTACGCTGAAGTCTACAGCATATTTAAAGAGCCAAAAACATAATGTTCCTGAATTAGATTTTAAAAATGACAAATATATATTTTTTTTAAATCATGCACTTTACCCTAGTAAGTATGCTGCCTTCATTTTAAAGGTTGTACCATTTTGTCTCCATTGTAGATCATTATACAGTAGTTTAGGATCAGAAGGAGGACACAGACCCTTCATTTCTAGACTGGTTTGATGGCAGCTCTGATATTGCTAGTCTATGAACTTTATAAAATGTAAAGTTTGTAAAACTTAATTTTAAACCTTTCTCTGAGAAGGTAAGCATACTCCCATGTAAAAGCAGATCAAGTGTTCCAGGAAGATTCACAACGGGTTTTTTGTGTGCAGAGGGCAGTAATATTGTTGAGTTGGAAACGAGTTTTTTTTGAGACCACGAGTGCATTGGTGTGATTATATGTTATGATGGTAGTGGGCTAACGCTTTGAGATTAATATTGTGTTGGGTGTGAAAGTTGCCTTAATTTATTATTTGCTTGCTTTTTAATGTTCAGGTTATTGTGAGGAAACATATTTCAGCAACTATAACTTTGTTAATGAAGTGTTTTGGATGGGAATACATTTATATTAGCTGAAAGCTGAGCTAGGCAAATAGAGCTGCCAATTTTATAATCCAAGAGAGCTGATGAGAATTCATGGTATAAACTTGATATTCTGGAGGTTAACGAAACAGATGCTGTAATTTTATCTTCACAAATCTCTATGTGACAGACTACAACTAATAAACTAAAGATGTTTGCTCTTACCTTATCTGGATGAGGGCTGGAACAGAATGTTCAGCTTGTAAATAATATTGTCTAAAGGGCTGCAGTAGATGATTAAGGGGAAACTCATCTGTTAAAAGACATACATGAGAAAACCATTCAACAAGATATGACCTCCAATATCAAAAATTGTTAGGATCCCTAAAGATGCCATATCTCACTTGTCACTCCGTGATTATTGTTTAAAGTTATTTGCCAATTAATAGATTCGTGTTACAAAAAGTATTATGGGATTTCTGGTGACTACAAGTGGTTAGGACTTTCTACATTCATACAAAAGACAATACTTCAACTAGCAAACTCCCTCCCTGGGAACACACTGCTATTGGGGTCATACTAAAAGGATAATGACACCCGCTGAATCCCCAATACTAACGCATCAACATGTTGTGGGACGTCTTCCATTTAAATACCAAATTCAGCCTAACCCTGCTTGGCTTGTAAGGTTTGGTGAAATCATAGTTTGTGAGACTGTGACTACACTGCCTCCTACATAAAGTAATTTTCCAATTCTTATCACACTCTCTAAATATGATAATGAACAAACTTGTGTATCTTGTCTCCTGCTCTTCACAGTGTAACTTTAGCACATATCAGCTTTTCCAAGCAAAGCTGTATTTGCATTTTAACCTTACTTGTTTTTAAAAAAACTCCCCAATACTGAACTAAAATATGCAGAAATTTACCTGGATCCCCGAATAACTTGGAATCAATGTCACGTTTTTGCTGTAGAAGCTTTTCCCTTTCTTTCTTCTGTTTCTTTTCCATTTCTCTTTTCCTCTCTTCTTCCTGTTCTCCTTCTAACATAACTCTTAATGCTCTCTCTTCAGCTTCATACAGTTCAGTGCGTTTTCTGATCAGTGTCCTCAGCTTCTCTATGTGATGTTCAAAGTCTTCATCTGCGGAGGGTGGAGGACAAACACCTACAGAGATAGTGAATTAAGTTATAATTTTCAATCACAGAAATGGTATTAATTTCAGTTTCATACTGAGAGTGGAGTTTGCAGAATCTCCAATGAACTTATACTGGAGTCACCCATTTTCCTCATGACTATCCTCCAATAAAATGATGTGGGTCAAGAAGGAGTTTGGAAAGAAAAGTGCGTAACTGTAGTATTCTGCATGCTATACAACAATCTTTCAGAGATAGGTTTCAGAGTAGCAGCCGTGTTAGTCTGTATCCGCAAAAAAACCAGGAGTACTTGTGGCACCTTAGAGACTAAAATTTATTAGAGCATAAGCTTTCGTGGACTACAGCCCACTTCTTCGGATGCATCACAAGTGCCACAAGTACTCCTGTTTTTTTTTTTTCTTTCAGAGATACTATCCTATAAGAATGGAATTTAAGGTAACTAGTAAAGAATAACTTTTGCTCAGACAGTATCCTCCAAATCCTCACTAGCCAAGTACTCTATGCTTGAAGTTTATTATTTATGTACAAAATGTTCCTGATAGCCTGGTTATTGGGTACACTCAGCACATGCTGCTTAAATAAATATAACCTATGACTGTTAATAATACCACCTAATATAATTATTCACTATTATTATTATTATTATTACAGTGATAGGTTTATTATCTGGCATGTTGGAAGAATGGGGGGTGCTGGTAAGTCAAAAATTCTGGTTAACTAAGAGGGAGGGAGTTTAGGTGCGGGAGGGGGCTCGGGGTAGGGGGTTGGAGTGAGGGAGGGATTTTGGGGTGCCAGATCCGGGGGCGCTCACCTCAGGTGGCAACGTGTCCCTGCTGCTCCTAGGCGGAGGTGTGGCCACTCCTGTCCAGGCGGCTCTGTGCACTGTCTCCTCCCGCAGACACCACCACCCACGCCACTTCCTGCAGCTCCCATTGGCCTGGAGCAGCGAACCACGGCCAGTGGGAGCCGCGATCAGCTGGACCTGCGGACGCGGCAGGTAAACAAACCGGCCCGGCCCGCCAGGGGCTTTCCCTACGCAAGCAGTGTTCCAAGTTTGGGAAACACTGGTTTAATACATAACAATGAAATAGGGGTAATCATGAAGGGGCTACCTAATGCAAGGATGGAAAATTCTCAATATTATGGAGTTTTGCCAAATTAAAACACTTGCTAGCCATATTTGAATTCCTACATAATATTTGTTTAAAAATGTTTTATTTCTTGTATTTCTGCATAGATCACAAAGTGCCAAAAATTTGCCTTTTCTTCCTGCTGCCTCTTTTCTCAGTTTTCGAAGCTTTTCTAAAGCACGCAGGATGTCCACCATTCTCTTTGTGTCTGCCTGTTTTTTCCTTACTTCAGATAAGACACTGTCTGCTGCGGCTTTAAGTTCACGTTCCTGTGAACAGAAGAATGTACAGAGAAAACATGAAATAACCTATATGGGCAAAAATTAAAAAGAAAATTCAAATAGGAGAAATAGAAGAATAAGTGAAATCCAAAACAATATTCCAATGATGGAGATGAAGTCAGTCAGTCCATCAGTCCTGCCTACTGTGTCATTTTTAATGGAAAGAAATAAAACATGGCAAAGAAGCCTAAAGAATTGGAAAGTAGCAGAGTAACACCAAGGCGGTGGTATCAGAGGCTTGTGAATACATAAGCCTTAATAAATTCTGTCCACAGAACATCAAAATGATAAATGATGTATGTATATTAAACAAAACTGAGATCCAGGTCCTATGGTAGGATGTACTATGGGGTAATCAATTATTTTTTGTCAAGATCCAAATGTCTTGGTGAACAAACTCCAGATTCCAAAGAAAATAATATAAAAATAACAACAATAAAGATACCAATAAGTAAATAAGATTTCCTGGTCCGTTCAAAAGCGTCGGGTGGTCGGGATTTGGCACCCAGGGTGATGTACTAGTTTGTAAGTAAAGAGCACTAGGTTAAACGTGTAGGGTCAGATCTTGGAACTTGCACTGAATACTTTGTACCATTCTAGTAACACAAAACAACTGTATAGTGAGTGGATCTGGTATCCTGACTAAGTAACTCCTTGGTGGCATAGAGCTGACATTGTGGCTCTTATGCCACCCCTCTCCAGGCCCCTAATGCAGGATAAATCTTTTGCTTTAAAAAAATCTAAAATGGAGAGCTAAAAAAAGGGAAACTTCTCTAAAGTGCTTATGGTGAGAATTATGCTATGGAAATTAATCGAGCTTTCAGTGGGTCAACAACAGTATTGCCAACCCCAAGTGTTCAAAAAATCATGACATTAAAAAATAATTCACTCTAGGTTCTTCTTCTTTGCCTTCTGGTTTCTGAAGCCTGATATATACTTAAAATTTAGCCTTACCCAGCTACATCGCTCAGGGGCGTGAAAAATTCACATCCCTGCATGCTAGTTAAGACAACCTAACCCCTAGTGTAGACATGGCTTGGTCAATGAGAGAATTCTTCTGCCAACTTAGCTACTGCCACTCGGAGAGGTGATTAACTACAACGATGGGAAAAACCCTTTCCATTGCTGTAGGAAGCGCCATAGCTGTGCTGCTGTAGTGCAGACGTGGCCTGAGCA